AAACTCTTAGGTCCAGAAATGATGCAACTGACTGTAGAAAAGATTAAGGTGATTAAGGAGAGACTTAAAGCAACACAAGATCGTCAGAAGAGTTAGGTAGACAAAAAGAGAAGGGAGTTAGAATTTCAGCAAGGGGATTTTATTTTTTTAAAGGTGTCACCCACAAAAGGTGTTATGCGATTTAGGAAGCGAAGAAAGCTAAGCCCACGTTATATAGGTCTATTTGAAATTCTTAATAAGGTGGGAGAAGTTGCATATAGGATAGCCTTGCCACCTCAGCTATCTGGCGTACACAATGTTTTTCATGTGTCCATGTTGAGAAAGTATGTCTTTAACCCGAGCCACGTGATAAAGTATGAACCTTTAGAAGTTCAAGAAGATTTAACATACTTGGAATATCCTATTTGAATAATTGATCGAAAAGAGCAAGTCTTAAGGCATAGAACTATTCCCTTTATAAAAGTCCAATGGAGCAATCATACACCAAGAGAAGCAACTTGGGAAATGGAAGATGATATGAAGAAATGACATCCTCAGTTATTCGAAAATGAAGGTAAATCAAGTTTCGAGGACGAAACTTTTTATAAGTTGGGGAGATTGTAATACCCGAAAAAAAAAAAGAGATTATTTTAAGTATTTTTATAAGTGGGGGGACTCTTTAATAAAGAATGAGAAGTGCAGAGGACTTATTGATAAATAACCCAAATTTCTTTATTAATAGAGTTAACTTTTCAGTTTTCAGTCGACGATTAGTCGTAATAAAAAACAGAAACTTATTTCTCATATGTTTCTTATACAGAATAGATCAATTGAAGGATTTCAAGTGAAGGGAAGAACAAATCTACAAGGAGAAATTATCTATTAGAGGTGAGTAAATAATCTTTTTTAATTTTTGAAGTATTGATGGTTAAGTCTTAAAGTGTAAATTATAATCGAGAAACCCTAAAATTTTAGGGTTTCCATTATCCCTCTTTGGGCAGATGATTTAGACTTTAATTAGAGTCAAGTTAAGTGTTGAGAAAGTTGGTAATGTGAATTTATTGTTGAAACAGAAATTTGATGGGAATAGAAAGGAAAATCTTTGTTTCGTATAAATCCTGATATGAATCATGTGTTTGTAGTGATGAATTAAGGTTATATTCTGTATTAAAGGGTTAAATACTACTATGATTATTATATATGGTTGGAAAGCATGTTGAATCTACTTTCTAATGAAACAAACGGGAGTCAAATTCGAGTTCCCTATGAAGAGTTATCAAATTTTTACCTAAGGAGGTGCAGGCTGCCTAGTAGCAGCAGTAAGGGGGAATTACGAAATTTCCCTTAATTTTTATACAAGGATTTACAGATTAAGCTATATATGTTTGGAAAGCTTATTGAGTCTACTTTCCAATGAAATAAGCGAAATTGAATTTGGAGTTACCTATGAATAAATACGTATTTTTTTATGAAAAGGTATACAGGTTGTCTGGCAGCAGCATATGACGTGGATTACAAAAATTGTTATAATTAATCCACAAAGAATCACGAGATGAGTCATATATGGTTAGAAAGCTTGTCAAGTCTAGTTTCTAACACATTAATAAGGTTTTAATTCTGAATTGGATATCTTGAGTTATGGTCATTTTAGTGAAAGTAGCGCAGACTGCCAGAATTAATTACTCGAGTTATTACTTGTTTAACTTAATTTTTTTTGTATAAGTGGCCTCAAATGGGTTGATTAATTATTGTTATGTTGGAATTATCTTGAATAGGCCACTAAATTTTGAGGGAGAAAAATTAGGTGGTGGAATCAGAAGAAGGTAAGTAGAATCTCACACACTTTGTTTGTTTTCGAATCTATGTATATATATATATATGTTTCTAAATGAAAGAATGTTTTATTTCATTATTTTCAGTGTATGAAAATAGGATCAAGCATATGATTATTTTGTGTTTCTCTATATAAATGATGGATCATGCTTATGATTGAAATGAGAAAATGATTTATGTTTAAAGAATGATTTTATGATAGCTACATTTTTATATCCCTGGGAAGTGGGATCATCGACACCAGAACTAGTTCTACGACCCTGGCTAACGGGTAATAGTAGTTAGCGTAAGCCTTGGCTAACGGGTTATAATAGTTAGAAATGATCATGAGAATGAAATTGTCGATACGGCCAATGTCACGGGCTATAGCAGTGACCGTAGCTAATGATTTGAATGATAACTATTTGATTGATAATGATGATTTATGATAATGATGATTTACGATGATTTTTAATGATTGATCCATGATTTGGTTTGCCTTCGATATTTGAATGATAACATATTTTACAATGATTTATGAATTTACGAAATGTTTGACAGAACAATGATATTGAGATGTTTTGATATTATGATTTGATGAATGTTTTGAATGATCTATATGACATGTATGAAACGATGTTTGATCCGGTAAGGTGTGTGAGCCTTTACTTACTGAGCTGTGGTTTGCTCATTCCTTATTTTCTTTTCTTTTACAGATGATATGAATGATAAGTATGATTAGCTTGAGAAAAGCTAGAAGAATCGAGCATTGGAGAACTACTTAGAAATATAGGATTTTATGAAGTATTGTTTATTTTAGTTGTAATACTCTACTTTGAACCTTTGGAGACTTGTTATCTAGCTATGTTACTTAATGAGAATATTTTATATTTGAGAGTTGTTCAATGATTATGGATTAGGCTTCGTATTGCTTTGGGATTTTACTTCAAGGTAATATGACCGTGTTATGTCTCGATTCGGGACGTGACAGAGAGACATGAGGTCAGAAATTCATGGTGAAGAATATATATATATATATATATATATATATATCATTCAAGATTACTTTTTTACCTTTGTAGAGAATATAGGTGTTTTTCTTTATCTGGCTAACTTGGTGCCTTTCATTGTATACATTAGTCATTGCCATGGAAGAATCTGATGTTTGAGTGCTCTTGTCACTGGAAGAAAAAGACCCAGCTTGAACACGAGGCTTAATCCAAATGATTCACTCATCATTTTTAAGAGGCAGATTCTCGTAAAGTTGGGGTTCGATCTTTAATACTTGCAAATTTCCCTTATGCAATTCCCCTTAACTTGGGGTCTCTTTTAAAGAAAAAAAATGAAATCCAAGCCCAGCCAACGGCAATGCTGAAATAGATTCACATCTAAATGTGGAGAGGAAAATTAAACATGAAGAATTTTAGGTTGGGGAGGCAAAAGGAAATTTGGAGTAGTTCATTCATGTCTTGCTCAATTGAATTAAATTTGAGACCCAAAGTTCCAAAATGAGTTTACTTATCTAATTATTACTGTTATAGACATTATTTCAAGTATCAAATGTTAATGTGGCTACTGCATGAAGTTCATGTACATGCTTCACTTCTCTAATCTACCAAAAAGCTTGGTTTAGGGGTTAGTATTGTACGTCAATAGTGGAGATTTTGAACCTGAAATATCATTATAGCGCCAACGTACCATTTTGTTAAAGAAAAAAAACCAGCAAGGATACAAAGTGATGTCAACCAAAAGAAATAAAAAAGGGAGAAGCATAAGGTCAGTAATTCTCAGTGGAGAATAAATCATTTTGTTTCTTTCCACCTTTCTTGGAGAATGGATGTTCTTCATTTGGCCATTTTGGTGGTTTATATTGTTATACTAAACAAAATCAAGCAAGAATCTGGGTTGATTGCTTTTATGAGTGGAGTTAAAAGGAGCAAGGCCAGTCAATGGCAGGCCTCAAACTGATAACCTAGGGAGTAAGATGAAGCCATGAATCTTGGCCAAAACAAAAAGACTAGGTAATTTTCATGGTGGATAATAAGGTATTTTAAAACTTTTGGATTTTATATACTTGCCATTGCCTTCACCACAGCCTTTGTTTCCCACTTTCTTGCATATGCTGGCCAGAGCATTGTTTCTATTTTGTGAATATCTTTCCGACCAGAAAGGTGAAAAGGTCAATTGTCTGTTATTTAAAAAGTTCCTCAGACTAGGATCAAACTTAACCCACTTGATCTCTGTTCATAATGCAACTTTATTTTGCTCCAACCCTTCATTTTCCTTGAATTACCTGTGCTTGACACATATTTGAAAATGATGGTAATGAAGGTCCAATCCTCCAAATTTATGATAAAACTTGGAAAAATGAATATATCTGCGTAGAACACATACACGGATTTGACACTCACTCTCAAATCCGAGAAACATAGATGCCACTGTCGACCTTCTGATATGAATAAGAAATATGCAACTTTAAAGTAATATCAAAGGTGCCAGCCCTTACGTATAATTTGATTATGAAAATACTAACAGCCCTTTGTATCTTCTAGAAACTGATATACTAAGATTCTGGAGTCTTGTGATTCAAGTAAGTGGTAAGTTGTTATGCGTGTGGTTCAGCTGCATATGTATAGTTTCAGGGTGTGATTTCTGAGTTATTTGTGGAACAAATTCAAAAGTATTTACTCTGGCAATCAATAGTAAGAGATTACAGGCCAGCTAGGAACCTTAACAGAAAGGTGGGAAAAAGGCTAGTCGAGCTCGAATAACATTAACGGAAGGTATGGTAATGATTATGTCGTTGCTTTTTACTTATCCTAACATTTGGTCATGTATGTTATTCATTGGATGCATTACTTTATATCAATTTTCTTCCACTTTCATACTCATCTTTCCCATCAGAAAGGTATAAAAGTGCAGTCACCTTTTCTTAAAGATCACGAGTTGATTCTTTCTTGAAACTAATGCCACAAACAGGCATTATTTTTATGACAATTAATTGCATAACTATCTCTTAAAGATCTTTTTCATATGTTTCTTTGTTTGATTCATGAAAGGGTTAGAGCATTTTATAAAAATTAATTGCTGTAATAGATGTTTAACTATATGTGAAATGAACTATAATACATGGAACCGGTACAGACCTATAAAGAAAACCTTCCACGTGTCGATGAAACAATTGGAACAGATAGTGAAAGAGTTTGGTGATTGTATTACAACTTCAAAATGAATGCTGGAATATAAATCAAACCACTTTAATGGATATGGATTGATAAGCGTGGAGGAAAAGTTACCGCAAACGTACAAATAATGTTGTCATTCACTGAACTACATGGAATGAATATAAGGCACTACATTAATAAAGGCATTAACATTAAAGATAATAACTCAGTCTCCATTAGCAAGAGCTTCTAATAGCCTCTTATTGTACATCATAATGATGGAACAATACCATAGCCATAGTCTTCCTTTGAGAACAGCTGATCATCCTCAATTTCCATATCTGTTTTCCTTGCAAATCTGCCCTTGACTCGAGGTCGAGTGTCTGCATAGGCTTTCCTGGAGGCATATCTTATTTTCTTCTCAAACTTTCTTGCCTTCCTCTTCTCTCTATATCGTAGGACCTTTTCTTCCCTGTTCATTGATGTGAATTGGAGTGGCATCAGAAGCAAGGGATCTGGAAAGAGGTCAGCTGTCCCCGTCGGAAATCTTGTGTATGAGTTTGGTATGTTGCTTGTTGCGTTTGGTAAAATGCCAGCAGTAATGAGCAGCTTGGGGACCTATAATTGTAAAATTAGAGAAGAAACCTTAGAAATAATGAAAAAATGTTGCCAGCAAATTATGTATTAGAAGCAGATGGAGTAAAAAATAGCTTAAAAACTTTGCAATCAACACGATTAAGTGTTTCTAAAATTTAATTGATCAATAATTGGGAAAATCCCTTGAACACTGTGAAAAAGTTGAGCTTCCCCAGCATATTTCACCCGACAACAACAAGAACAATTAATGAGCTGTGACTAAAGCTAAAACCATTTCCCAGTAGAACAAAGTAACAAATAAAATATATGTACATATTTGTATATGTTCAAGAACGCAGGCACATATGTGCTTAAGAGGGATGAAAACTTGGAAATTAGAGTTAAAACAATTTTGCGATTTTTTACAATTATGAACAGGGAAATCATAAGCTGGAATCTTAACAAGAAATTAATTGAGGACAAGTTAATTTAGATGTGTAGGATCTTACACTCATACTACTTGAAGAGGTATTAATGAATGCGGCGTTTGATCCCCTATTTTCTGTATTGAAGTAAACAGTCTGTAACTGATGGTGTGTTTGCTGCTGCTGCCGTTGTTTCTCTTCTTGTTGTGGTTGCTTCTTTGCTTCAAAAGTTTGAACTGGAACAACACTATCACTTCCACTATCTTCTTGATAATTAACACAAAGAAGTTGCTGTTGATCACTGCACTGTTCTTGGCACTGATACTTGGTACTTGTATCCACAACGTCCATGTACTCGTCAAATTGTTCACTATAGGTAAATCCACTCATGGTCGGGTTATCAGTGTTATCAGGCTCAAGCAATAACCAAGAATCTGTTTCATCTTCATCAAATTCCTCGTTCAGCATTGTAGGGGCCGCAATTTCATTTCCTGTGTCAAACATGGGACCTGGAACCCGATCATCCTGGTGAGTACTTAAGGATGAACATGCTAGACCTGAGAGTGGAGGAATAGGGACCCTGGTATGACGGCGGGCCAGAGGATTGACTGAGTGTATTTGAATATCACAATTGATGCAAAGTGATGCTGCATCAGCACTGCAGGTGACAACTGCTGGAGCATTCTCGCAGGCAGCACAAATCCACACACGCTGGTGTGACAAGGCCATAGGATTGGCGGCATGGATTCGCTTATCGCAGTCATTGCAGAGGTAAGTAGAGTCAGTGTGGCAGTAGAGTGTGCAGGCTGCTGCCTGACATGTATCACAACTACGAGCCCAGTTGCTGGGGTAACCATCTCCACCAGAGCCCAACTTCAACATGCTTGTTTCATGTTGGGTTCAACATGTCAAAGGATGGTAATTCAACAACTTTTATCAGGTATACTTGTGAAATATCCTGAGACTGAAAAGATTGTACTTTGGGAAGGAGGAAAAGTCTTGTAAAGAGTGTGTGTTTATGCTAGTGTGAACTGTGAAGTATTTATAGCATTTATGTAATCAAGAAAAAGGTGAAGTTCAACCAAGATCAAATGATTTAAACTGTGTGTTTTGGCATCAAAGAGATTGTTAATAAAAAAGAACTTTTTATGGATATTAGCCACAAGTGTCCACTTAGCCACAAGACAAAAGTTCCACTTGATATCAAAGCCAAAGATTCACATTCTGCAGTTCTTGTCACTCAAGTCATTTCCCAGCATTCATAAATATTCTCAACAATTACAGCATTTGCACAGAACAAAAAAATTATAAAAATTCAAATGAGAAAAGTGTATGCCATGAACAACAGAAGGTAGAAAAAGCTTCAACATTATCCTTTTTTTTTCTTTTTGTCATGAAGGTGAAGTAGGGAAGGGTGGAGTGTGATACTGGAAGTGAGAAAGAAAGAAAGAAAGAAAAAAGAAAGAAGAGGTGAGACTGAGAGAATCCAAAAAGTGAAAAGCGTGATGGGCTTTAGCGGTTGATAGAAATGGTCCAATGATCTTGCGGCTAGCTGTTGGCTTGGAGTGACCCAGGTTATTCTGGGGCTCACACCTTGGTCCTCCCTAGAATCTTTCCGCTTTTAACATAAAAAAAATAAAAAAATAAAAAAATAAAAGAAGAAAAGAAAAAAAAGTGCATTAAATTTGAAAATAAACTAAAAAATAGTGTATAAAGAAAATCAATGCTATTTCTTTTTTCAAACAGGCTGATTTCTCGGGAAGTACTAACTAATAAGTAACAAATTTATGTGAATGGTCGGATTGCTGAAACAAAATAGCATTGCTTTATAAAGTAAACCCTTAAAAGCTGGTATCAGCTAAGTTGAAGCTTCGTCTGCTTTGTTCCTGACTTCAGTAGTGGGCATGAAAACCCTGCAACCATGATATCTACTAATAAAGTGACTGGACCAGATACATAAGCTGAGTCTCTCATAATTTGGAAATCTTAGTAAGATTGTAATTATTGCAAACAACCAATCAAAGTGTTGGATTTGGTAGGGATATTAGAGGAAGATGAAAGCACCACCAATGGAACCTGGAATGTTGTTCAATTCCAGACGCATACTAAGCTTGACCTCAATTTCGACTCATTCATATATATATTTTTTTACATAAAAGATACTGTAATCTAAGAATAAGGGAAAGAGTTGCAGATGTTAGAAATTAAACTTCAAATCTCCTGAATATCACTTTTTAAAAATGATAGCATAAACCAATTGAACTAAATTCTGAATTCCAAATATTTCCATTTGCCAATACTAAAAACTATTTGCAGAACAAAAAAACTGACGGTAAAATCTTGAAACAGGGTGCTTTATTAACTTTAAATAGGTCTGCAATTAAAAAATTTATAAAAAAAAAAAAGAAAAATCTAAGATACCTGAAACATGGACTAAATGGATAACACAGATTGTTGAGGTTTTCCCATAAAATTGAATCTTGGATGCAGAGGGAGATATGGACTTCAATAAATTATAGATCATGAACGAATTAATGCACAACTACTCCAAACAGGATTACATATGTAACATATAATAATTGCTATTGCTTTCACAGATTTTTTTCACTTCTGAAGTATTTAAAAGACATAAGAAGTAACTGATGTTTACATGCAAGTTGCTGGAATGTGCATGGTGAACTTGTACATCACTGGTTGTATGCCCTTTCCTTCTCACCCCATATGATATCACTGTGAAAACTTTGAGATCAACTTGTCAACATGAATTATGATATCTTCCATGCAAGGGCGAACAGCCGCCTGAGGCTGAAGCATCCAAGTCACAAATTGGTGAAGAGGTTCTGGATATGGTGGTTTAGGTCCAGCAGGCCACTTAATCTGTGCATTTACAATGGCCAATTGAAGGCTTCCTCCAGATTCTCCAAGTGCATACTCGAATGGGGATACCCCATACCTACAACAAATGACAATTAACAACATAAGTAGATAAATAAAACTGCTAGTGCTAACTACATATACTGAAAAGCATCAGTTCATCAAGTTCTAATAAATGAGCTTATATAAATGGATTACATGTGTATTACAGCTGAATTTCTTGTCCAAACGGGAAAAAGGTGTCATGGCAAAACTTTAGATATGCAGTAGAACAACCTGTAAAAGTATTTTTAACTACTATCTTGCCACTGCTACTGCAATTCAATTAACACCTGTTCCAAAACCATAATTTTCACAAGGTAATTTTTTATGAAGCACATGACATCACAATTTCCCATTTTGTTAGCACATAGTTATACCTATTTGATGTAAATAAAAAGTTTCTCGGGAAACAACCACTTGTCCAGGGCCAAGTCCCAATCAATCATTCTTCATACCAACGCCAATGGACAACTTCATGAAAATATGGAAGCCTTGCTTTTAGCATTATAGAACTTTCACATCAAATACTCAAAATCTACTCCTTAGCTTAAGGCAGAAGAAAACCAATAAAAAGATTCCAGCCACAAGACTTCCCCAAACCACTGTTTTACAATATTGTTTGACGAAGAAACTTGATGAACAAGAATGAAATGACAGAAAAAAAATTATAAAATGAAAGCAAACACTGTATAAGTGCATGTATAAGTAGTAATTCTTACATTATTGCATATAAAGTGCATCCCAATGACCAAATATCAGTTCTCTCATCAATATCTGCATGGCTAGGGCAGTCCCACAACTCAGGAGCTCGGAAAGGTGCTGAACAGTGCTCAGATGCCCATTCCTACATATGAAACCAAAATCCAACCATGAGCACTGTAGAAGATGCATTAAGCTGATAGAAAAATGTGCCTTTCAAACTTACGCAGATGTAAAGATGACAATTGATAGCCACATGACAATGCAATAAATTATTATGAAATTTAAAATCAAGAAAAATTATGTCAATGAAAAGGTAAATGCATCATACAAATAAGCCAAGCATGTAGTTATATATCATTGTATATGTGTTTAAATAATAAGCATATGTTTGTTGGTAGAACAGAAAGCATACAGATTTAAGGAACCAGAATGGCTTGGGTTATTTTCCAGAAAGGATTAGAAAGAAGTTCTAAAGCACAGAGATATAAGGAGACTTTTAAGCACTAAGGAAAAATCAAGAAGAAATAAGCACCTGAAGCTGTAGTGCCTCAGAACGAGAGCGAATTTGCTTCCTTGCAGGACGAGCACTCCCGAAATCCATCAATATAGCAAGGGGCGATTGCCCTTTTCTACGGGTTAAAAGAACATTACCAGGCTTGATATCATTATGTGCATATGGAGGCTCAAGACTGTGCATATGTTTGAGTCCTGCACACAACTGTGAAATAACTTGGTCCAGTCAAAATGCTAACTGTCATTTCTAATCAGTTATAACATCAATAAATCCAACAATACAAAACACTATTAATAAGAATTCTAAAACATAAAAAGAGAAAATATTAGAACACTGAAGCCAGATGATAAAGTTTATAGAAATGCATCAGATCCACTAATAAAAAGTGCCCTATTGTTGCCAAATCAATCTAAATGAGAATGCTATTTCAAGCCCTTAAAAGTGTATTACAAAAGGAAAGGCATCACAAAGATAAAAAGGATAAGATTGTTTTACTCACCTGCCGAAATATTTGAAGAACATCTGAGGTAGAAAAGAACTCCTTTTTAGCTTTCATAGCATTGGAATTGTCCAGTAATGTTCCATCCAAATGAACAGGAAATAGTAAATATGCTTCATGATTCCATGACCCTTCTTGTGTAGGCTAGCCAATGAAATCAAACTGTTTTAGACAAATACAATTGCATGAAAAGTAATTTGAAAGAAGAAGAAGAAATAAGCCATGAAGGGAACATGAGAGCATCTTGAAAAATGGTTGCCTATGCAAGTTTTACCCAATTTTATATGTAAATGAGTCAGTAAATTCAAAAACATTTAAGACACAAGTAACAGTTTTTAAGGTTAATTAAAATAAGAGATCTGAATAATTACCTTAACAGCAATGATAGCATGATCAAGAAGCGGAAGCAGATTAGAGTGACTAAACAAGGATGAAACACGGATCTCCTCCCGAACCAATACCAACTGCTCATTATTCTGAATGAGAACTTTCTTCATTGCATAAGTTCCATCATCTGCAAATGCAACCCAACTTAATTTAGTTCTAAAACAAAGTTAACTTTCTCTTTGATCTGATGAATACACAATTTTTAGAATAAAGTAATAAATTAACAGCAAACAGCATAGAAGAGGTTTTCCATCCTTGATAAATCCCCAAACAAAGAGGGTTAGCAAATCCGTTTAAGATTCAAATTCAGAAAATAAACAATAATAAGAAAAAGAAAATGCATAAATCTCGAATCCAATAGGCAAGAAGTCAAACCATAAAGAAATGATAACTCCATATTTAGTAAGAAATTCTATGTCAAATGCCTTACTTTATACAATGGAATTGAGATCAAAGATTCAACTGGTCCATAATTTTAGTTCTATAACTGTACAGATAGGAATTCAGTAATCCCGGAAAATCCGCTTTTATATCCATATGATTCAGTTTAATGAGATTATCAGATTACCATTGGGGCAGAGAAGAAAAAGTAAGACAATTTCAGATCCATAGTCAAATTAATAAACCTAAACAACATAACCCCAAAAGTTACCATAAAAATTCATGGAAAATACTATAGCTGGTTTCAATTCCATTGACAAGATACTAGAATTTTCCATAAAACAGCCGCATAACATAACCATACTTCAATTCAAAGAAACCAGAATTTAAAAGAATCCATACATTAAGTCACAATAAGTTAAGAAAAACAAAATATCAGACACCAGAATTCAATTCAATTACAGCAAATAGATCACTTAAAACCCTCCAAACAAAAGCCAAAAACACGTACTTTCAGATCAAAAACCAAAAGGCTCAGATAATTAAGTCCCCTCCAAAAATGCCAAAAAAAAAAAAAATCAATGCACAATCCAATGGAGAAATACCCAAAATCATAAAAATCCTAAAATATAAAAGAGACAATTTTTTGAAGGGAAACGAACCAGAAAGATGAGAAGGGTCCTTGACTTTTTTGGCTAAGCCACCGGCTGAAGAGGAATCGGACATCACTTCTTTCACCAGGTAAACATAGGCGAACCCACCTTCACCCAGCTGCCTCACGATCCTGAACCTGTTGTCGTTGATCCAAACGTCCCCTCCCCCATTCACGGCGTCGTATAAAGCATTCAACCCTGAAAATGTACACCCCATTATTTTCCTTTTGCCTTCAACTCAAAAAAAAAAAAAAAAACTTTTAGATCTTCAAGCTTTCATTTTGTTTGTTTGTTAGACTTGAGAAATATAAAAATGGAATATCTTGAGAAGCTCTCTCTCCTTCTCTAGCCTCTGATTGACGCTTTCATTTTTATGTTAATGATAAGCTCCTGAGACTGATTTTTATTTATTATTGCATTGACACTCCAGTTTCTCATTCTTCCACTCCGTCGTTTACATTGGGATTGGCTACGGTCAGTTTCACGCGACTGCACGCAGGAAATGTGGCACCAAGACGCTGGTTTTAGGAGTAAATCTGATTTAATCGGGACCGTCCATTTGGCTAACTAAGTAGAGATAGACAACCTCATTGTCCTAGGATGATCACTGAAAAACATGATTTGAGCAGGTCAGTAAGGTTAGGTTTGTAGTAGAATGAAATTCTTTTTTATTATTTTCGTGTCAGATCAAAATCTGATTGTAAAAATGTGGCATTTGGTACAACATAAATCTTCTGCTGCATAAACTGAAACCACAAATCAAGATCGGTAATTTGTTTGGTTAATCTCACACAGCTGGTTGTTTTTAAGTAATACAGTGTATATTTCCTCCTCCCAAAACCATTTCTCGAGCACCCTCAATTCTTACCACCTGAGAAAAAAAAAAACAAAAATATATGACTGAAACAACGTTTCATGCAGTCAAAGAAAACATCAGGCTTTGATGCCATCCTGTCCCAGAAAACATTCTATGAAGACATATGCTTCAGCTAGTGTAGTAATTCAAGCATGTCTATGTCCTATTTTGAGGAGAATGTCATCAACCAGTGGCTTTAAAGAAAGAGACCCTTTGCATTTTTTGTCAATATTAATAATTATTTCTTCCGAAATCCACGATTCCAAGTCTACTTGAAATTACAGATCATATTACAAGTTTGAAATGATCAGAAGATCTAATTCCTTACACCAAACTAATCAGTGAAGGGTCTCTAACAGAACTTGATCACTGTAATAGTTTGGAACTTGGAGCCGATTCATTCGACAGGAAGTGAACAGCACATATAAAGTAATAATTTATTTATGACCCAAATAAAAAGAACTGTTACTTGGATGAACCTTCTGTAGTTTTATAAACATGAGTTACAAATTTCAGTCAAAAGCCTTCAGTACCAGGCGCATGACCAGAGAATTAGTACAATGGAAATTGTAAGATTGTTTAGAGCCGCTAGCTTTACACCATCTTAACTTTTAAGACTAATAAACTCAGCCTGCCTTCAGGTACATTCTACCGGTGAATATGAAACACTATTGTGCTTTTAGATTCAACACTCGAGTCTTTACCATTATCCTGGTTTCGATGACCTCATTTCGATATCAATCTTGGTCATGCCCCTCATCTTCTGGGGTTGCTATCTTCACTAAGAAATGAAACTTTTGTATTAATTTAAGGTTTCTAAGCATTGACTGTAAGTTAAGATTCATTATTTTGATAGATCAATCATGGTTCTGCTACCAGGCGCATGTTGAACAGAAAATACTTGCTTACTTCATAGTCTGGAAAGGCTTGAGAAAGGACACGAACAGCTTCATCATCCGACTTTTGGTCCCCAAATTGTGGTGTGATGATCCCTCCATTTCCAATATAGAAGTTTACATATGAAGCAGCGAATCTTGTACCTGGAGTCGAGGTTTAGCCTCACCATCCTATCATTAGAAACATCGTAGACCAGGAAACAATGCACAATAAGATCCTTTTTCTTCTGGAACAAGCAACTAGATAATAAAGGATAAAAAGTCAAAACATAAATCAAGTTTCTGATTATCAAATTATTTGACATGATAGTGCTCTTATTTACTAGTTATGTCACTACCAAATAGACAGGATAAGAAATTAAAAGGAGAATCGAATGAACAGTTTCATTCTGCAAGGCTATAATTTTTTTTTAAATGAGCAAAATTATATTGGAACAAGAGTACAAATATGCAAAACTGAAAATAGAAACTTTTCTCTTGCATTCTCAAAGAAGCTATAATAATTAGGACTATATTAACCGAGAGAAAAACAACTGTGCTAATATCTAAAGCCGCATACCCTAGCGCCTGCTTTAAGTTGGATTTGAACTGAGTAAGATGCAGAGCTATGGAAAATAAAATGCTTACTTGAGTAATTACAGCAGCAGCTTCATCCGTCATAAGAAGTGGCCCTGGAACAAGGATTTTAATTATTTGTAATTTCCAACCGGAGGCATCTGTAGCATTTGAGAGAATAGAAAGGCTTCCACGGAATGTTCATACTGAGGATCTGTTTCATCATCAGTCCAAGACAACAAAACAACACCAGGCTTCGCAAAGCAGCACATATTATCAATGTGACCATTAGTATCATCATCACCTGTTAAAAACCAAGAAGATACTTCAAATTTCGGAGGACATATAAAGTGTTGTATTTGCCTGCGGTAGTGGATAGTCAATAAATGGTGTGGTGCTACAGCCATCCTCCAAGGATATTGTTGCATATTTTAAAAGATAAAGATATCAAATTACGATTTGCCTGAATAAGTTTGCATTTCAGCTATGAAGACTTGAACATGGATCAACAACAATATTGCAGTTCTCTAACTACTCCGTAAATAAAATGCAATTGAAAAATCATTCCAAAGTTAAGAGGGTTTGGGATTAAGTCTCTACATATATATCATTCCTTATCCACACATCCTCCTGATGTGGGATTGGGGGCGTTACAATCTCCCCATCTTTAATGCTTGACGTCCCTGTCAAGCCGAGTCCATCCACAGGACCAAGATCACACTAGACCATCGTATAGCACTTAGTGACTCCCACGGCTCCACCGTGTAGCACTTAGTAACTCCCACGACTGCGGACTGGTGACCGCTCTGATACCATTTGTAAAGACCCGCACCCAACCTGCGAGGTATTGTCCGCTTTGACCCGAAGGTCTCACGGTTTTGTCCTACAAAAGGCGCCTCACAAGTTTGGGATTAAGTCTCTACATATATATCATTCCTTATCCACACATCCTCCTGATGTGGGATTGGGGGCGTTACAATACTTATGTCACGCCTCGAATCGAGACATAACACGGCCATATTACCTTGAAGTAAAACCCCAAAGCAATACGAAGCCTAATCCATAACCATTGAACAACTCTCAAATATAAAATATTCTCATTAAGTAACATAGCTAGATAATAAGTCTCCAAAGGTTCAAAGTAGAGTATTACAACTAAAATAAACAATACTTCATAAAATCCTGTATTTCTAAGTAGTTCTCCAATGCTCGATTCTTCTAGCTTTTCTCAAGCTAATCATACTTATCATTCATAACATCTGTAAAAGAAAAGAAAATAGGGAATGAGCAAACCACAGCTCAGTAAGTAAAGGCTCACACACCTTACCGGATCAAACATCGTTTCATACATGTCATATAGATCATTCAAAATATTCGTCAAATCATAATGTCAAAACACCTTAATATCATCGTTCTGTCAAACATTTCATAAATTCATAAATCATTGTAAAATATGTTATCATTCAAATATCGTAGTCAAACCAAATCATGGATCAATCATTAAAAATCATCATAAATCATCATTATCATTCAAATCGTTAGCTACGGTCACTGTTATAACCCGTGACATTGGCCGTATCGACAATTTCATTCTCATGATCATTGCTAACTATTATAACCCGTTAGCCAGGGCTTACGCTAATTACTATTACCCATTAGCCAGGGTCGTATGATCATGTCTTTGCTAACTACTATTACCCGTTAGCCAGGGTCGTAGAACTAGTTCTGGTGTCGATGATCCCACTTCCCAAGGATATAAAAACGTAGCTATCATAAAATCATTTTTTTAAACATAAATCATTTTCTCATTTCAATCATAAGCATGATCCATCATTTATATAGAGAAACACAAAATAATCATATGCTTGATCCTATTTTCATACACTGAAAATAATGAAATAAAACATTCTTTCATTTAGAAACATATATATACATAGATTCGAAAATAAGCAAAGTGTGTGAGATTCTACTTACCTTCTTCTGATTCCACCACCTAATTTTTCTCCCTCAAAATTTAGTGGCCTATTCAAGATAATTCCAACATAACAATAATTAATCAACCCATTTGAGGCCACTTATACCAAAACAATTAAGTTAAACAAGTAATAACTCGAGTAATTAATTCTGGCAGTCTGGGCTACTTTCACTAAAATGACCATAACTCAAGATATCCAATTCAGAATTAAAATCTTATTAATGCGTTAGAAACTAGACTTGACAAGCTTTCTATCCATATATGGCTCATCTCGTGATTCTTTGTGGATTAATTATAACAATTTTTGCAATCCACGTCATATGCTGCTGCCAGACAGCCTGTATACCTTTTCATAAAAATTACGTATTTATTCATAGGTAACTCCAAATTCAATTTCGCTTATTTCGTTGAAAAGTAGACTCGATAAGCTTTCCAAAAATATATGGCTTAAATTGTAAATCCTTGTATAAAAATTTAGGGAAATTTCGTAATTCCCCCTTACTGCTGCTACTAGGCAGCCTGCACCTCCTTAGGTAAAAATTGGATAACTCTTCATAGGGAACTCGAATTCGACTCCCGTTTGTTTCATTAGAAAGTAGATTCAACATGCTTTCCAACCTTATATAGTAACCATAGTAGTATTTAACCCTTTAATACAGAATATAACCTTAATTCATCACTACAAACATATGATTCATATCAGGATTTATACGAAACAAAGATTTTCCTTTCTATTCCAATCAAATTTCTGTTTCAACAATAAATTCACATTACCAACTTTCTCAACACTTAACTTGACTCTAATTAAAGTCTAAATCATCTGCCCAAAGAGGGATAATGGAAACCCTAAAATTTTAGGGTTTCTCGATTATAATCTACACTTTAAGACTTAACCATCAATACTCCAAAAATTGAAAAAAGATTATTTACTCACCTCTAACAGATAATTTCTCCTTGTAGATTTGTTCTTCTCTTCACTTGAAATCCTTCAATTGATCTATTCTGTATAAGAAACATATGAGAAATAAGTTTCTGTTTAAGATCTCTCATTTTAGATCAAGATCATTTGGTACACACAATCTATTTCTAAAACGTAATGTGCTATCCTCGTGAAGATTAAACTCTGACCACTAACCATTCTGCACTTCTGTCTTAATTCTATCTAACTCACTATCTTCTTTTTGTGCAAATTTTATCTTTTCGATCAAAG